AAGAGTGAGAGATATCAGATAGTATCAGACACAGGGGAATAACGAGTCCTCTGGACAATGAGTCCTTCTTTTGCTCTTTTGACAATGCAGGAAGCTCAAACTCCTAACTTGGGTGTTTCAGTTGAACTGTTTAAGATCCCATGAATGCAGCCCTTAGCCCACAGAAATACATTTCTGTATAATTTCCAATGAGAAGATGAAGTTTAAAAATTTGTCTTTGCATTTTGAAATCCTAAAGATAATTAACATAATGAACATGAGAATATCTAATACATTTTAAAACATGATTCTTACTCGTATTTTAAATAATTCTGTAACTCCTCGACAACATTCTTTTAGTTTAGAAAAATGATCCATCACTGAACATGGCATTTGAACTGAGTAGCTCAGAAAAAATATTTCAGTTTTGAAGACTAAGATTTCACTTGCTCTTTTACCTAGCTGGAGCCATCTATCAGAACTTAGCCTCTTGACATTCACATTTTTTGGGGAAAAAAAAGATAACATCCAAAGAATAAAAATAAATATGTCAAATAAAAGTGCATTTCATCCAGGAGTGAATGTAGAGTTCCAATTGCTGTCTTTCATTACTCAGAGAAACGTTATAGAAATGAGAGCACTCTTCTCAGAGGTGCTGCAGGCGGGTTGACCCCAGCTGGCAGCTAAGACCCCACACACTCGCTTACTCACTCCCCTCCCTGCTGCTGCTCTCTGACACGCAGCAACCCTACAACAGAAGGATTCACTAAGATGCTGGGTAAGCTAGACAGCTGTTTAATCCTCTCTGTATCCATGGCAGATACACCAAAAGCCCCCTGGTACCCTTTTGGGTCCTGGAAGTAGCCTCTCCTGATGTAGCCCATGCCAAGGATGCACAGAGTCTCCAAGTCAGTCACAAAAGGATGCTTTTCCCACTTATTGCTTGTTAGAGTCACTTTAGCCTCCAGCATAGGTAACTGTTGGGATCATCCTATTGCTCCAGAAATCTGGGTGGGTTCTGTCCTCTTGCATCCTGATAGCATTAGGGTCACTGTATACTGGCGTCCAGCAGAGCCTTATACTCCTGTGGGTCCGATGTGCCAGACTATTGAATTCATACAGTCCAATAAACCTGGTTGTGCCTTTCCTCTGCCTGGCTGAAGGCATGGCCCCTCTATTCCTGGTCAGAGCATTCATTACCCAAACTGCTGTAACTGCAAACCAGAATCAGAAATAGGATCAGTACTTCCACTGTGTTTGGGGAATTGCTCAACAGCAAGTGCAGCAGTCATCTTTGTGAATGGACCCTTTTTGGCTGCTGCTTTTCCTTGCAATTCACAAACATAAGTTTCTAGGCTTGAGATAGATGCACTGTGCTGCTTCCTCATGTCCTCCCTATGGTTATGCAGATAGAACCACAGGGTGGCACGCACGGTTCCCTTTCCTTTGAGCAGAGAAAGGCTGACTCCATGTGAGAGTTTTGATAGCTAAGATACCGACCTGTATGTGTAAGGAGGAAAACATACGCTCTTTGAATTTGCTGGAACTCTTGGGACAGTTCTTCTACATCTGAGACACAGGACCATAGCACTGAGGAGGTAGAGAGATTCTCTTTGTATTGCCAGATCTGGCCAGCCAATCTGTCCACAGCTGGTGCCTCAATGACTACAATTATTGTCAGGGTGCTGACATACAACATTGGTGTTCTCTGCACAAACTTTTGACCATAGGCACTGGACTTCACCCAGATCCATAGAGCCCTGGTTATTGCCTAGGTTGCTGTAGATCACCTCCACCACCAATTCCCTGATGCTGGATATCTTCCTCAATGGTGGTCCAGTAGTTTACAAGATCTTCCTTGAGAGGATACCTTGTCTTCACGCTCGACAGAAGTCACCTCCAGAAGCTGCAGATTGTTGCCCCTCTTCTGATGCCTTTATTGGTTCCCTGGTCCTTAGCAAGAGATCCCAGTTGCTGGGCTTTCTTACCCTCTAATTCCTGACTCAGCACTGGCCCCATCAGAGCAACCAGGTGATAATTTGCTCACATAGATGACAGCTGTAATCTTTCCACATATGTTGTGGCAAGTTCAGGGATGGGGACTGGGTGTTTTCTGCATTCATTCGTTCATAATTTCTGTCTCTTCCACCTCTTGTTCCTGTGGCTGCTCTGCTGCAGAACAGGCTGCCTCTTCTGATTCTTCCTCCTGCTCCCTCTTAGAAGCTCCTTCTTCCCTTACTAACCAAGTTGACTTCCTCTTCCATTGTTTAGGAGCATCTGTTATCATTGAGGGTTGGGTCTCTGACTTAGCCACAGTGTCCATTTGTATGTCCTCAGATCCAGAGACCCTTTCACCCTGCTAAGGTAAGTGTAGGCCAGGCCCCAGCACAGTGTGAGAAGTTGTGTCTCTTTGACATAGATAAGGCATCCTTTCTTCAAGTGTCAGCAGGATGCCATGCTTGTTCAAGTGTGAAGTCTGGCACCATTGGACCTGAAAATTGCTCTGGGTACCTGCCCAAATTGTCCTACGCAACTTGTGACCCATGACTTGACTACCTCAGTGCGCATCCCTGTGTGGCATTCACAAATAGTCAGTTATTCTGAGGAAAAGCCAGAATTGGATTCTTGACATATACCTATATGAGCATTCTAGTTACTGAGGATGTTCAAGAAACTGAAGAGCTGTTGTAACAAGGCAGAAAAAAATATCTACCCTAGGAGAGAGGAAGGGGGAGGAGCCATTCTTCATTTCTTCTATAGATTGGCTCTTGGATGAGGAGAAATTGTTAATCGTCTCCATGAGATGATTCCCAAAGTACTGGGACAGAACCAATGCAGGACCTAAATACTAGAGTAGGCTCAAGGCCAGTGCTTTTATCATAACTCTCCCAGGCAACACACAAAAAAGCGCTAGACAGCACAGTAAACTGCAAAAGCTGAAAGCAGCCATTAACAAGCCCTCAAATTTGCTGTGGAGCAGGTAAAGGAATAAACCAGTGTTGAGACCAAATACATCAATATTATGACCAGCAACAGCTAAACAGGTGTAACTACTATAAATTCCTGTGTAGTGCACTCCAGTCAAATTTATTCTGATGTCAAACTCCTCTGGCCCCATGTTGGGTGCCAAAAAGCACTCTGGTGGGTTGACGTTGGCTGATAGCTAAGACCTCATCCAGTCACTCACTCTCTCCTCCTCAGTGGGATGGGGGAGAGAATCAGAAGGGCAAAGGCAAGAAAACTTCATGGGTCAAGACAGTTCAATAAGTGGAGGGGGGAAAAAAAAGCCAACCCCACGTTGTGCAAAAGCAATCACTTACCACCGGCAGACCGATACTCAGCCAGTGTCCAAGCAACAGCTACTTTGGAGAAATTCCTCCCCACCAGTTTTATTGCTGAGCATGACACTATATTGTGTGGAATATTGCTTTGGTCAGAAGGGTCAGCTGTCCCAGCTATGTCCCCTCCTAGTCTCTTGCCAACCCTTAGCCTACTCGCTGTGGGGGCAGAATGAGAAACAGTGACAGCCTTGATGGCTGCTGTGCAAGCATTGTTAACTAACAGCTGAAACACTGCTGCGTTATCAACACTGTTTTGGTCACAAATATAAACCACAGCAGCATATGAGCTCCTATGAAGGAAGTTAACTCCATTCCAACCAAACACAGTACGGGTGCACAGCAAGTGCACAAGTTACATCAAGGGAAATTCCTATGGGATACTGTGGCCATCCACTTCCCCTGACAAGGTCAAACACACATGCTGTGCTGACAGTTGAATCAGCAGGGACAAAAGGGTCTCAGTTCCTCAACTACCTGGCATAGATTGATACAGGAATCCTGGCATCCCTGAATGAAAGAGAATAACGCTCCAGTACACCAACTGGAGAACTCAGAGAAAGAGCATGAAAACGCATATGCTGTTTATGTGAACAGCAAGTGACCTGCTAGAGCTTATGGTTTGAGCCACCCTAATCTAAACCTATAAAAACATATCTGTAAGTATTCAGAGAACTTCTACCACACATAGCTGGGCTACGTGTACTGCAGACTCCCAATGAGAAGGGATGCCCACTAGTATCATGACAGATAGGAGCAGAGAATACTTAGGGACTGGCAAGTAATTTGCTATGGCCATAAGATATTGTAAGAGCATTAAGTTTACTAATGTTTACCAATTAGGTATGTAATAAATGCAGAATTATGTGGCCATTTGTGTACATAACTGGTGGATCCAAAAGATCCATGACAGACATAAGGAAAAAAAAAAAAATCACAAGGAGAGTCATTAAGCAACTAGAATGAGGCTGTCAGCCTGAATAGATTCAGACTTTGCCTGTGTGAAGCAATGACATCAGATACCCAAATGACTCAGGATAGGAAAACATTCTAATTTTGAGAAAGTATATATGACAATAGCTTGGAATGTAGGTCCAACCTCATTTTGTTTTGTTATTCCCAGATTATGCCATTGATCTTCTCTCTTTTCTTTTTTTTTTTTTTTTTTTTAAACTTTACGTCCCTTCCCTAGAGGTAGGTGACTCTGCAGAGAGCAGAAATAATTTCCACTGGTGAACACTGGAAGGTGAACTTCAGGGGAATTTTTTTGTCACCATCATACTGTAGATTGTCAGCTTCTGAAACACATCAAACATACAAGGCTTACCGGGAACTCATGCAGTTAACAACTGAGGCCCTGTAATCTGATTGAATAGCCAAAATATCTGCAATAATGAAAAGATACTGTTAATGCCAAGATTAGGATTACCAGAGCTACACAGCTGAAGAAAAACAAATATTTTACATTAACATAGGAAATTATCCTAATAAAACTCAATGGGAGATCTTATGGAAGGGGGATGGAATATTTACTTACAAATTTTCTAAGCTGATTTTCTCAATTCCTATTCATTCTATCATAGATTTCATAAACTTGCACTCTTATACCCACATACGCAGAAGCACCAAGATATCTGAGGCCAAATGATCTGGACAGGATCATTTGTGTAGGACACAGAGAACAAGGGATACCAGCTATTGATTTCTGCATCACATCCACTGGGGTTCTTTTTGATTCATGATGATGAACTGTTTTATGAACTTATCTGTCATACTCTCAGAGTCTACAGTTGCTATGGAATGGTTTTTTTGCTTCCAAATCTTGCTTATTTGGTCCCCATAAATCCTAGGCAAAGTTGCTGCTCATAGGTTGGTTCTCCTTGTTTGCAATAACGTTTTGAAAAGTGTCTGTTTTCACTTGTTTGGCTAAAAGAAAAAAGAAACTGTGCCTGTGATACGCTGCAACCTTGCAGCCATTGTCCTGTGGTAAGGATACGGGACCTTCTGCTAATGAGTCATTTGTTCTGTGGTCTTGTCTTAGAGCGCAGACCTTCTGGTTATGACATTATCAACACATTCCTCAATTGTATTGCTGAGACCAGAATAGCATTTTTGTTATTAGTGCTGGCTATTCTTCTAGCTCCTGTTTTGGTGTTCACGCACACATTTACATTCATATTTCATTCACAGCAACCAAATCTCTAATAAAAATGATAAATAACTTTTAGCTTGAATGGAATTCTCCAAAACTGTGATGTCCATAAACTAAAGGTAGTTATTTTTCTAACAACTATTTGCTAGCTCAGTTAGAACATAACAATATGTTGTAAAAGTTTATAAAGTGTATGGGCTGTTAGACTGGAACTCATAGATGACAATAATCATCATCACCATCATCATCCCCCCTTTTGGATTTAACATACATTTACTCCACCTTTCACTTCTGTGTTTAGATTTCCAGACGAAAAGGTCCAATTTACTTTTACTATGCAAGTTCCACTGAAGTATGATACTCTGTTTTAAACTGTTATCCTCTTATAAATCTCAAAAATGTTTTTAAGGCCTGGTTCTTGTTTCTCATCTAATCAAGTACAGGCTTATTTTCCTCTAACACTAACATTTCACAATTAAGCCCTTAATTTCCTTGAAAAGATGTTAGAATGACTCACAAGAGATACCTTCTCTCCTGATCCAGCTGGGCTGTTTTCTTTCACTCTTTTAATCTCTTCTCTAAATATCTTTCCCCATAGAAGAATCCTACCTTCTGGGGATGGGGCAGGAATGACCCTCAAGATCTGCTCTATTTGATTCACTGTTGATGTTCCAGGAAAAAGAGGTTTCCCAAGTAGCAGCTCTCCCAGAATACAGCCAATGCTCCACATGTCTACACCTTTAGTGTAACTACAAATAAGAATAGAATAGAGTTAGGACTAAATCAAGCAAATGTTTTTCTGTACCTGGCATTCACAGCATCTACATTAGCTTATGTTGCTAGAAAAACAGGCTTGATTACTCCTTGGATATGAATGCTCACAGGTTTTAACTATAAAGTGAATGAGATTTGGGAATCATGAAACTGGCAAGCATAAAACAGAAAGGAGATTTATCCTACTAAAAGTCTATTCTAGGAAACCATAAGAGGAAATATATAAAAGGTAAATGCCAGGACAAAGTAATATATACTTTTCATATGACCAACACTGAAGATACAAGTTGCCTTTTGGAAACAACTGACTTTTCAGGGCATAATTTATCTAGAAAGTAGTTGGAATTGCTTAAGCAAAGTAAATGCCAAACAATGGGTAAATGACAATTTCCAAAACATCCACATTTCAAATTTGGGATACTAACCCAACCTATATAGTAAGATTTTGTATATTTAGGTCAAAAAAAGGACAAAGCCTGACTAACATGCAGCTGAATTAACATTTGATTACAGAATATTTTCTGAAGGTCTATCAAAAAACTCTCCTTAAATTTGGAAAAGAGGACTAACATACTCAACCAAATTTTGTAAAGATGTAGATTTAAGGGGAGAAAGAGTAAGTCTAGTGGGAGAAAGGATGACAAACAGATGAGCTGATAATGTATGTAAACGGACAATCTAAGAAGCCAGTAAGGAAATGTACTGAGAGATTTTTATGTTGCAGAACTGAAGTTTAAATGTGTATTGAGAAAATGGACTGCTGACATGACATTGCATCTGGCGACATCTAAAATGAAAAGATTTAAGACTTTCAGACACAAAATTTTCCCAGTGGTGAAGAAATTATAGAATCCCATCCCTTTGCTCATATTAAGCAGTTACCTCCGAGAGGAAAGTAAGATCTCAGGGGCTCGGTACCAGCGTGTTGCCACATATTCCGTTAGAGCAGGGTTGCCTTGGTCCTCATTCATCTGACATAAAGAACGGGCCAGCCCAAAATCACAAAGTTTAACAAAGCAGTCTGCATCCAGCAAGATATTTGAAGGCTGAATTGACACATGAAAATAAATAAGCTTTTTACTCTCTGAATGGCAGAAGATTATTATCAAGGTTTTTTTAGTAGTTGCATTCTTTTCATACTTTTCCATTTGGTGTTTAACAGAAAACTTGAGTGAAGGATAAAGACTATGACTAAAATATACCTTCTGATCTCTGTGAATAACATTTCCTGAGTGGATGAATTTAGTTGCCTTCAGGAGTTGGTAGAGAATGTAACACTTGTGGATATCTTTCAGCAAATTCCCCTTCTTAATCACAGCATGTAAATCTGTCTCTGTAATATATTACATCGGTAATATATTTATATCAGTAAAAGATTACCAAATTGTGAATATAAGTTTCTCAAAGCAAGGCCAGAACAGACCATTATCCAAACTGTAATCTTTCCAGTGCATCCTCAACAGAAATTAACACTGTGATTACTAATAGTACTGCAATCTCTCTGTATTATCAGTTTGATTTGCAGCTCATGCTACAGTAACTGTTCTATTATTGTATACTTTTGTTATAATAAAATTGCGCAGTCTCTTCCATATGCAACTCTTATCTCTACAAGCCTTCTAATTTGTTGCTCAGTGCCATTTTTCCTTCATCTCAACCAGCCAGTTCTCATATAATTATTACTCCTTTTAAAGTTTCACTGCTATTCTCATCTAGTCACAACTGCTATATATAAAAAACCCTGTACTGCTCCTACTTATATGTCTACTTAAATGAATATTCACAAAAACATCAACACACTACTATCAAAGTAGAAAACAAAGATAACTCATAAGAGAGGCTGTATTTAAATGGCTGATGCAATGCTAAGTCTCACCCATGGACTCAAAGATGAGGTAGATATCCTTGTCGTTCTGAGCTCGGATAACGTCAAGCAGCTTGATGATATTTGGATGTTCTCCAAATTCCTGCAGAGGGAAGAGACCCAACTGTCAAAATCAAGTGTCTTGCTTGTGAATGATAAAAAAGGACGATAACCTATTTCATTGGGTACTATTGTCTAGAACAAACATTGACATGCTATTTCCTTCATTATGCTTCTACTGAAATAAATTTAAAAAAAGAAGGATTTAAGATTGCTCCATAGTATGAAACCAGCCAGTTAATCTAAAAAAAAATTTAAAAAATCTCTGTTGTCTGAGAGTTCTAAAAATCCCTCTGTACCATTTCTGAATAAAATCCAGACAACTTTATGCACCTCGTATTTACTGCTGAAGGCAAGAATTATTGTGGCAGTGAAAATAGAACAAAGTTGCCATCAACATTCATAATTAAAAAATCCAACTGACTAGAAAGTGTCTATCTGAGGATAGGCCAAAACATTCTCCATTACATGGAGCTGTTGGAGAGAGTCCAGAGGAAGGCCCATGAAGATGATCAGAGGACTGGAGCACCTCTCCTGTGAAGACAGGCTGAGAGAGCTGGGGGTGTTCTCTCTGGAGAAAAGAAGGTTCCATGGAGACATTATAGCACCTTCCAGTACCTGAAGGGGCCTACGAGAAAGGTGGAGAGGGACTGTTTACAAGGGCATGGAGTGATAGGACAGGGGGTAATGGTTTTAAACTGAAAGAAGGTAGATGTAGGTTGGATATAAGGAAAATGTTCTTCACTGTGAGGGTGGTGAGGCACTGGAACAGATTGCCCAGAGAAGTTGTGGATGCCTCATCCATGGAAGTGTTTATGACCAGGTTGGATGGGACTTTGGGCAACCTGGTCTAGTGGAGGGCGTCCTTGCCCATGGCCGTGGGGTTGGAACTAGGTGGTCTTTAAGGTCCCTTCCAACCCAAACCGTTCTATGATTTTATAGGCTGCAATGATTGAACTGACTGTAATAGGAGATCAGTCAGCATACAAAAAGATACCTAAATACAGATACCTTAAACTGGAGGTGAATTCTATCCTCACATTTGCAGACTGACAATACTGTCAAGATCATTTACTTCGTCCTCAGTCTTAACAACTTTTATTTCCTACAGCTAACAGTTCTGCACAGCTAGAGACACTGCCAACATGCCAACATTTTCATGAACTACCCTGAGTATCAAATTATAAATAGCTGCACCATAAAACCTATGCTTGTATCTAAAATACATACATGATTTTTTATTATTTGAACTGGATATAGACTATCTATTTCCATCACAAATTCAGTTATAAACAATATAAAAAAATCATAAGATTAAGCTATCTCCAGAAGTCTTACAACAGCATCATCTTCCTAGACTCTGAGGCCAAGACAAAAGTTGGTTATAATATACAACGCTTGGAAAAATCCACAAACCAACACATTCATCTGCAGCACAAACCAGTAATACACAGCCAGGCCATCAACTACCCTTGCATTTATTCTGAGGACAATATTCAGAATACCCATCCAAATAATCTAAAGAAAGTTTTTACCCAAAAGGGATTTTTTTCTAGAGATGCAGATCAGTCTTGACAGCGTTACTTGAGTTCTGTTTAAGAACTTACTTCACACTGAAGGAAAAACCCCTTGTCTCACACTGTCTTGCCCTGGAACTGATAATAGAAAGTTATGAAAAAGTTTCAATCTATACTAAAAAAAAGTCCTACCTTGAAAAAAAAATCTTGTCAGAGCCAGTCCTACTTATCTTTGCCTAAAGAACAATGTTCTCACATAATTACCAAAAATGACATTCTAAAATGTGGTCCAAAATGCACCAAATAGATCTCAACTACACTGAACAATAAACATAAAACCTGCAAGCAGCTTAATGACCAGCATACTATGTATTACCCATAAGAGAATCATCAAAATGCCCAGATTCTACATCAACACTTCTCAATTACAATAAACGTCATCCAGTCCAACAAATGTCCTTATGATAAACATACAGATTAAACTAAGCAATCATTATGCACAGGAAGGAATTTGCACAGACAAGCAAATCAAGACAAACAACCAGTTACCAATGAAATAATATTTCTTATGTCTTTCCCTTTCTGATTTCTCAGTCCTGAATCTCAAGAAAGAGCTATAAAATACCTTCAAAAATAGGAACGGAAAACTAAAATTCTTAAGTCTATGGAGCACCAAAAGTCATGAAAGTAAGGGCTTAATTGCATATTAACCTCCCTCCCCGAAAATGACTTCTTCCCTTCAGGAGAAATATCCTTTTTCTTCTCATAATTCCTCCACCACCCATCTACTCCAGAAGTGCTGTACTTTCAGAGATGATCTAACCTATAGGTAATTAACTTCTAAGGAATTGTCCTCATATGTATTTACCTTTTAAGTTTGTGACTTCTATTTCAGGCTTAAAGAATGATTAAAAAGTGAAAAAAACCTCATCTCTTTCCGACTTAAACTTGACAGTCTTAGGAAATACCTCTTCTTATGAGGCCTGCCTTGCTTGTGTCCTTAGAAAACCCTAGTTATAACAACATTATCACTATTCAAAAACATTGATGTTTCTACATGGTAAGTCCGTGGAGGAATGGACAGATAATTTTAATGCCACTGATAAGGTAATTAGGCGTAGTGTGCGGTCAATTATATCAAAACAAGAGCAGCCTTAAGTAATTCCATACAGAACTTGCCTTTTAGTTTTGCTTTGATTATTTCAAGTGGTCAAGTTGGTTCCCACATGGAGGAAAAAAAATTTAGTATGTAAATCTCTTCCACACCCTAGCCCCACCTCTGAATCATGGCATTTAAAATTTAAGAAAAACACTTTCTGTCCAAAGAAGTAAGAAGTGACAGAAAGTACAAGTCAATATGGTGATCCTAGAGTAGACATACTGCTAAAAATGGTGAAAGAACAGGGCATATCTGAAAGAAAAAATAAGACCAACTCTCCATTTCATTCAGGTGTTTTTGCCCAGTCATGGAAAAAACGTTTACCAAGATGGTGCAGAAAAGAAATGCATAGAGTTGTCAACACTGATCATTGCACTTTGAAAAAGAATGGGAAGAAAATATGTGAACATCAGAGATAATTAAAAATTAGAGAGAAGAAAAATGGACTTTACCTGCAGGAACATAATCTCTCGAAATGTTCTCTAGAAATAAACAAAAAAAAGTTTATTAGCACCATCAACACAATGAGAGAACAGAGTATGGACTTCCAATGAGAGTGTTAAATCCATTCTAATCTCTAAAGCAGGGGAAACTCTTATATGGTAGACAGGCTAGGAAAAACCCAGTTGCTCACTAGAGTGACAAGTGTGCCCTCTGTGCTTAGACACTATAGCAAAACAACATAAGAGAGAATCAAATTGTGCATGCCTATCAAGACACTTTTTCCTCAGGGACATCAAACAGTATTTTGTAGATGCCATGATATACAAAGCTTGACATTTATTGCTCCTTTTTATCCTAATATAGTTGTAGACTGTATTATTAAATTCATAATTGTCAAATAACTAACATCTTTCAGAGACATAAATCCTGAAAATATCTATGAACTCCCACCACATCTTTTAGGACATATTAGAACAATGATGTCTCACCTGAGCATCTGTTCTGTTCCTGAAAGCATCAAAAATCTTTTTAACAGCAACTATTTCTCCTGTTCTGCGATCAATTGCTTTCCATACAATACCATAAGCCTAGGGAGAAAAAAGGACAGATGAACAGTGCACTATGAATTCTTAATCACAGTTCAGACTGTCAGTGTGGAAGTAGAACGTACTCAACAGAGGGAATGAAAGAAGAGGTAATCACCAGCTACCTAGAAGAAAGAGAGATTAGGCCAACGAGCAGTACTTGGTTGAGTCAAGGACTAATAACATCTATACTGAGTCTGACCAAAGGTCCACAGGGTCAAGCATCCTGGCCCCCAAAGCAGCCAATAACAGGTGCACATGCTCATGAAGTTCAGCAAGGTCAAGTGCAAGGTCCTGTACCTGAGTCGGGGCTATCATAGAATCATAGAATGGTCTGGGTTGGAAAGGACCTTAAAGATCATCTAGTTCCAACCCCCTTGACATGAAAGATCATCTAGTTCCAACCCCACTGCCATGGACAGAGACTAAGTTGCTCAAAGCCCCGTCCAACCTGGCTGTAAACACTTCCAGGGATGAGGCATCCACAACTTCTCTGGGCAACCTGTTCCAGTGCCTCACCACTCTCATAGTGAAGAATGTTTTCCTTATACCTAACCTAAATCTACCCTCTTTCAGTTTAAAACCATTGGCCCTTGTCCTATCACTCCATGTCCCTGTAAACAGTCCCTCTCCAGCTTTCCTGTAGCCCCTTCAGGGACTGGAAGGGGCTCTAAGGTCTCCCCGCAGCCTTCTCTTCTCCAGGCTGAACAAGCCCAACTCTCTCAGCCTCTCTACATAGGAGAGGTGTTCCACCCCTCTGATCATCTGCATGGCCCTCCTCTGAACTCGCTCCAACAGGCCCATGTCTGTCTTGTGTTGGGGGGGACCCCAGAGCTGGACGCAGTACTCCAGGTAGGAGTGGAGTAGAGGGGGAGAATCCCCTCCCTCAACCTACTGTTCATGCTTCTTTTGCTGTGGCCCAGGAGGCAGTTGGCTTTCTGGGTTGTGAGCTCACATTGCTGGGTCATGTTGAACTTCTTGTTCACCAACACCCCCAAGTCCTTCTCCGCAGGGCAGCTCTAAGTCCATTCTCCACCCAGCCTGTAGGTGTGCTTGGGATTGCTCCAACCCATGTGCAGGACCTTGCACTTGGCCTTGTTGAACCTCATGAGGTTTGCATGGGCCCACCTCTCAAGCCTGTCAAGGTCCCTCTGGATGGCATCCCTTCCCTACAGCATGTTGACTGCACTACGCAGCTTGGTGGTGTTGGCAAACTTGCTGAGGGTGCGCTCGACCCCACTGTCCATGTCACCGACAAAGATGTTAGACAGGACTGATCCCAGTACCGACCCCTGAGGAACTCCACTGGTCACTGGTCTCCACTTGGACATCGAGCCATTGACCACAACTCTCTGAGTGCAACCATCCAGCCAATTCCTTATCCACCGAGCGGTCCATCCGTCAAATCCATGTCTCTCCAATTTAGAGACAAAGATGTTCTGCAGAACAGTGTCAAATGCTTTGCACAAGTCCAGGTAGATGACGTCAGTTGCTCTTCTCTTATCCACCAACGCTGTAACTCCGTCATAGAAGGCTGCCAAACTCATCAGACACGATTTGCCCTTAGTGTATCAGTGTTGGCTACCACCAATCACCTCCCTATTTTCCATGTGCCTTAGCATAGTTTCCAGGAGGATCTGCTCCATGATCTTGCTGGGCACAAAGGTGAGACTGACTGGCCTGTAGTTTCCCAGCTCGTCCTTTTTTCCCTTTTTAAAAATGAGGGTTATGTTTCCCTTTTTCCAGTCAGTGCAAACTTCACCAGACTGCCACGACTTCACAAGTATGACAGAGAGTGGCTTCTTCTGCCAATTCCCTCAGGACCGGTGGATGCGCCTCATCAGGTCCCATAGACTTGTGCACCTTCAGGTTTCTTAGATGGTCTTGAACCCGATCTTCTCCTACGGTGGGCGGTTCTTCATTCTCCCAGTCCCTGCCTTTGCCTTCTGTGACTCGGGCGGTATGGCTAGAGCACTTACCAGTGAAGACTGAGGCAAAAAAGTTGTTGAGTACCTAAGCGTTCTCCATATCCTGGAGAAGGTCTCCTGTTTCCTTCCGGAGAGGGCCCACATTTTCCCTAGACTTCCTTTTATTGCTGATGTACCAATAGAAGCTTTTCTTGTTGCCCTTGATGTCCCTGGCCAGATTTAGCTTTCCTAACCCGATCCCTGGCTGCTCAATTTCTCTGTATATCCCACTTTTGTGACAACACTCCCAGGCTACCTGCCCTTGCTTCCACCCCCTATAGGCTTCTTTTTAGTGTTTAAGTTTGTCCAGGAGCTCCTTGTTCATCCATGCAGGCCTCCTGGTGGTTTTGCCTGACTTCCTCTTGGTTGGGATGTGTTGCTCCTGAGCCTGGAGGAGGTGATCCTTGAATACTAACCAGCTTTCTTGGGCCCCTCATCCCTCCAGGGCTTTGTCCCATGGTACTCCACCAAGGAGAATCCTGAAGAGCCTGAAGTCTGCTCTCCTGAAGTCCAGGGTAGCAAGCTTGCTGTGTGCCCTCCTCGCTGCCCTAAGGATCTTGAAGTCCATCATTATAAGAAAGAGGGACAGACACTTTTTACCAAGGCTTGTAGTGACAGTATCATAGAATCGTTTAGGTTGGAAAAGACCTTTAAGATCATCAAGTCTAACCATAACCCAACACTGCCAAGACCACCACTAAACCATGTCCCTAAGTGCCACATCTACATGTGTTTTAAATATCTCTAAGGATGATGACTCAACCACTTCTCTGGGCAGCCTGTTCCAGTGCTTGATAATCCTTTCGATGAAGAAATTTTTCCTCATATCCAATCTAAACCTCCCCTGGCGCATGTCGTGGTTTAGCCCCAGCCGGCAGCTAAGCACCATGTGTCCATTCACTCACTCCCCCCGCAGCGGGATGGGGAGGAGAATGGGAAGACAAAGGCAAAACCTCGTGGGCTGGGATAAGGACAGTTTACTGGGACACCAAAGGGAGAGGAAAATAACAACAACAGTACTTAGAACATACAAAATGGATGATACACAATGCAATTTCTCACCTGACGACTGTACAGCTCAGACCGCACACTCAGACCCATCCAGAAGCTGGACTGTCCCCGAGCCACATGTTCTGGAGCTGCGCCACCTCTCCCCAACTAGCCCCCTTTTATGCTGAGCATGAGGTTATATGGTATGGAATATCCTTTTGGCTAGTTTGGGTCACCTGTCCTGGCCGTGTCCCATAAAAATTAAGTCTATCATAGCTGAACCCAGGACAGCGCAACTTGAGGCTGTTTCCTCTCATCCTATCACTTGGGAAAAAAAAGAGACATCCCAATTGCCAACAGTGAAGTATTATAGCACTTACCTGAGATACTTCAACTGTTTGTACTTCCTGATGCATGGCAAAGGACCTGAACCCATACTCCAGGACCACACATATTCTTGGGAAGTCTGCCTCACTGTTGCTATGTGAGTATTTAAGCATGAAAATCACTCAATATCACATATTGCAGCTGTTTTACTTTGTATGAGTATTTAAACATTAAACATTTTTGAGTGAGATGTACAGATGTAAGGCATCTACTAGAATGTGGAAAGTTAAGATTCAAATCTATGACCTAAAAATAACAAAACTGGATCTATACCACAAGGGAGGCTGAGTAATCACCATTTGCAAGTACCACACAGGCATCCAGAACAGGGAAAACTTAAGTAGAAGTTCCTGTTCCCTTAGTAGACAACATAGCTTTTAATAATAAAATACAAAAAAACCCCCCAAAACCCCAAACTGATTGAATTCCCTCACTGTACAGGAACATCTTATCTCCCTTGCTGCTGCACTTCTCTGCTCTATTTTTTGACAGTCCTCACCTGTTTTAGGGACTCTAACAGCCTTTTAACTGCTCAGGTAAGTATATCAACTGTGTACAAACACAATACATACAGAACTTTCTGCATCCAAGAGGCAGAAAACACAGGTATTTGGGAGACTGGAACCACTCAGTCTCAACTCAAGCTCAACTAGTAGTTTTGATAATGTCAGTGATGCCTAGATGATGGACTTGAAGCCACTAAAGTCCTTTAAAGACCTGAACGTATATAGTTATGTTTGTGAAGCAGTCTCCAAATAGAACTCTCAGACAATTTGATATTTCGGATGAAAGAATAATGTGATTCTGCTTGAAGAACCTAGCATGTTAAAAGATGTAATATATTACATTCAGTCAAAGGGAGAAAGCTGATAACTAGTAACAAGATGCCAGCAAACCTCAAGTCAGCAGCAACTTAGAATGAAATATAGCCATAAGAAAGATCAGTGTGAATTCAAAAGGAGAAAAACAAAACATTGTCTTAGAGGATAATGAAGAAACTGAGCCTCTCTCAAGTGCCCCCCTGTAATTGCACATGAAATACATAACTACTAGTATCAACACAACTCGGCAATGGCAAAGAGCTGACCGAATAGAAAAACAGATAATCAGGAAGGGTTTAGAGACTGTCTGAGGAGAAAGATCTTAGAAATTAACGTGGGCTCACATAAAAAAATACGTAATTTTATAGAGGAAAAAATTACTTGATGCAGCATAATACTTGAAATAACGAGGTTACAGTAAATGTGACAGAATTTGGTGGACTGTCGTGATTTAACCCCAGTCAGTAACTAAGCACCACATAGCCACTCGCACACTCCCCCCACAGCAGGATGAGGGAGAGAATCGGAAGGGTAAAAGTGAGAAAATTTGTGAGTTGAGATAAAGACAGTTTAATAGGTAAAACAAAAGCTGCGCATGCAGGCAAAGCAAAACAAGGAATTCATTCCCCACTTCCCATCGGCAGACAGGTGTCCGTACATCCCTGTATTACCAACACCGTTTTCAGCACAAAACCAAAACATTGCCTCATACTAGCTACTAGGAAGAAAATTATCCTAGCCAAAACCAGCACACAGCCACAAATAGCATATGCTTTGAGACTCAGGTACATTTTGCTATAAACCAGGTGTATATGCAAGGTGGGTGGTTTGTTTGGCAGTTCTCCAGTAAATTACAGGAAAAAAACCTCTACCCTGATAGGGAATTTAAAGATACTTTCAGTTTCACATGCAACAACATCCCAATTTGTGCAATCTCAAGCACACCTACAAGCTGGGTGGAGAATGGACTTAGAGCTGCCCTGCGGAGAAGGACTTGGGGGTGTTGGTGAACAAGAAGTTCAACATGACCCAGCAATGTGAGCTCACAACCCAGAAAACCAACCGCCTCCTGGGCCACATCAAAAGAAGCATGAACAGTAGGTTGAGGGAGGGGATTCTCCCCCTCTACTCCACTCCCACCTGGAGTACTGCGTCCAGCTCTGGGGTCCCCCCCAACACAAGACAGACATGGGCCTGTTGGAGCGAGTTCAGAGGAGGGCCATGCAGATGATCAGAGGGGTGGAACACCTCTCCTATGTAGAGAGGCTGAGAGAGTTGGGCTTGTTCAGCCTGGAGAAGAGAAGGCTGCGGGGAGACCTTAGAGCCCCTTCCAGTCCCTGAAGGGGCTACAGGAAAGCTGGAGAGGGACTGTTTACAGGGACATGGAGTGATAGGACAAGGGCCAATGGTTTTAAACTGAAAGAGGGTAGATTTAGGTTAGGTATAAGGAAAACATTCTTCACTATGAGAGTGGTGAGGCACTGGAACAGGTTGCCCAGAGAAGTTGTGGATGCCCCATCCCTGGAAGTGTTTACAGCCAGGTTGGACGGGGCTTTGAGCAACTTGGTCTAGTGGAGGGTGTCTCTGTCCATGTCAGTGGGGTTAGAACTAGATGATCTTTAAGGTCCTTTCCAACCCAAACCATTCTATGAGCCTATGCACATAACACTTTCCTTCCTCTGAAATTCAGTTGTGGAAAAACTGCAAGAAGTAACAGAAAGTTATCAGACTGCAATTTATGATTTTTTTTTCTCTATTAGGCACAATAAATATTTCAAAGTCCAGTTTTTCTTCAACTATATAAACTCTCAGACTTCCATCACTAGACGCAGCTCAGATCAGCGGCCTGCAGCAGCGACCCAGATACCGCAGACAAAGGTGCCGCCGGGACGGCCAGCAGGACA